GGAGTGTGCGGTGTGTAAGGACACGAGATCTGGTGATTCAGTTACTTGCTGCAATTGCAGGAGCAAATCAGATCTGCTATAACGGGTACAACTCCACAGATATCCGTGGAGCTGCAAAGAAGGCTGAATTTGCTCCTTAATTTGCACTGCCTGGCAGCTGTAGGCACTGACCCTGCAAAGTGATCCGCAAGTAGATGAAACCCAAGTCAGGGTTCATACAGGTCCAGGCACAAATTAGCTTGCAGGGACCTGGACCAAGAGAAGGACGAAGAACAGAGCAGTTTGCAGCAACAGAACGTTCCAACCATTCCCTCTTAAACAATGCAGCAAAAGTCTAGACAAGAGCAAAGCATACGTAAACCAAAGGTTTACGTAAACCAAAGGTGTTTTAGGGAGAGATCCTGGAGTCCTTTCACATGCTAAATTCCTACTAACTTCTCTAGGAATTGTACATGCCAAACCACTACAGGATCAAGCACAAGAACAGACAACACTCATTGTTTCAATAGATTTTTCTTAAAGGAACAATTCCGTAAATGGACCATATAACTGGGTTAGATAAAACTGGACATTTGCTCTTGACATCTGCATCTGCAATAATGAAACACCTTCAGTTTTGATGTAGAGAAAAATCAGAGGGTATAAAATAAAGCTGAGGAGAGCCACACAATGTAAACATAGACTAGCCTTTCCCAAAACCTATACATGTGCTCAACTTGTTACACAGAAAGAATCAGTATAAAAACATAACTAATACAAAAAAGTGAGCTGATCATTTGCTTTTTGGAATGATCATTTCTGTAATGAATCCAAATATATCCACATATACATATTTAAAAAAAAAAAAAAAGGGTTAGGACCTGCCTTTGCTCCCAGTTAAATAAAAAATCAATATAAGATTTGCCACTGACTTTATGGACCAAATGCCTAAGTACTTGCTAATTATGAGAGGGCTAGGATGCCATTCACATCACAAGATGTATTTTCCAGCCCTGAAATATATGGCTGATCTCCAGCGGTTGTTAAGAGTCAGCAAAGAGTGCGTTCATCCTATGTCAAGTTAATTTAATCCTTTTAAAATTAAGCAGATTAACAATGATTTCATCCTATTTAAAGGTTAATGATGTGTAAACAAAGAGTCAGTGTCACCCCAGACATTAGGAAGGTCTGCCCTTACTGTAATTGCTAGCACTGAAACTGAAATGCCATGTGCTAATGCGAGATGGTATAAAAATTAATGTTGACCTAGACGTTGCTGTCAGATGAAATGCTGAACCATGCTTCCCAGAGCATGCAGCAAACCATTTGTACAATACAGATCCTGACTTTCAAAGAACTGTGTTAATACAGGCTAATAATCTTTATTTCACTTTGCCCAAATACCAAGTCACTTTCTTAAGTGCACAAATTGCAGCTATTAGCTTCATTTGATTATAGTCAAAGGAATACAAGCTTGGCTGCCATCCAGATTGATCTCAGAGGCACCTAAACAGGACGTAGGCAGGTTTTCAGCCCCTAAGTCACTAAAAGTGACGCAGTTTGACCTGGTTCCACTGGTGATGCACCCAGTAGGTGCCTATATTCTAGTAATGCTTCCATTTTGGACTGCCGAGTTCCCAGGGTGTCTACCACCCGAGCCTGCCCAGAAATGATCCAGCTTGAGCAACTCCTATTGTGAACCAGATTGATGCCAAGGAGGACCTAGTAATACTTGATCTATTAGGCATTCTCCACACACTTAATTTGCATCAATAGTGCTGAACTCAACTCAACTGCGATGATTGTGGCAGCATTCAAATCTCTTGCCCCATCGTCTAGTGGGCTGAGCAGTCACAGGAAGAGGCAGGCCTGGGTTCTAGCTTTGCCTCAGCCTGGAGGGATTTGAAACCTGTTTTCTTGTTTCTCCGGCTGTGTCTGACTTCTCAGGGTCTCTCTGACTTTCTCAATCAACGGAGGTGCCAGACTCTTTGCCTTGACTGTATAGGGTGCCTAAACATGGTCAAAGCGATTGCTTTTCATGCCAAGGCCTATAGGGTGCCTATACATGTGCTCTGATGCATTCTTATTAGAACACGTTGGAGCAGACTCAATTAATCGAGTCTGCTCCATGTTCTAATTAGAACGCTCTAGCGTCACTGCAGCATCATATGTATAAGCCCCCATGGGTTTAAAAATGGCCACTGGGGTGCTTTAACTTTTAGCCTCAGTTAAACCATCCTGTGGCCATTTTTAAATGTCTGGGGGCATAATACACGTGACACTGCATCATTTTAATTGAAGTGGCTCTCTGGGAACTGCTCCAATGCCCCCTCCCAATGCACCCCATAGCACATATATAGGCACCCCCACGTTTTAGGCTCTGGCATGCTTAAATGTAGGTCCAATGTGGATCTGCGCCCTGTGTCTAAGGATATCATTAATTAGTAAACAATATGTCAGTCTAAATTTTCACAGGCCTTTGAACCAGATTCCCAAATTCCTCTCCTTGTATATGCTCCATATGGAACTCCATGTTTACACTGCTAACATACACACAGCAATCAGGAAGATCGTTACTGCCCCAGGGAACACACAAAAATGCCCATCTATAAAAAAGAAAGTCAGACGCTATACGTAGTACTTGGAGGCACATTTTTGGAGGATGCTGTGATTCACAAGGCCAATTCCTCCACCTGTGTAAACCAGAGTGGGCCCAGTTTGATGGAAAGATGCTGATTTACACCCACACAGGTTCTGGCTCATAATGTACATACTAGATAACACTCAGCAAGCATGTAGATCCATGTAGGTCCAAGGTATTTAGTTACTTAACCCCCACTGATAGTAAAGTAGGCCTCCACTGACCTCTCAAAAGCTGGGCCATAGTAGTGAAGTTTTTCTGCAGCCTACTTCGAAGTTGCCTTGATATTCAGATGGTCCCAAGATGCAAGTTTGAATGTTTGAGCATGCATGGCTTTGGGAACTTTGTTCAGTCCCATACGGCAACACAGGGAAAATACAGAAAGGTTGGATGCACGTCTACTCAGAGGGGGAAAAGTAATGAATAAATAACCAGATTTCTGGTTCAGCTGACAAAATCACTATTTCTTCTTGAATTATTAGTTCACTATCTTTAATTTCCTGTTCACAGTATCCTGAAAGAATTGGGTGATAGTTGTGCAGTCTAAAATATAACAGGCCAATATCTTGGCCAATTCCTGAGCTCCTTACCCAAATTTTCCTCAGGCTTTGCTCAGGCAAGTTCCCATCAACTTCAACAGGAATTTGCTTGGCTGAAGATCAAGCACGGGTCTAAGGATGGGGTAGAATGTCATTTTCAGAGTAAACGGTCCTGTTTAATTTGGGAATTATGCTATCATAATGTTGTCAGGCCCCATATGGCATCCCTCTCCTGACTGACTGACTCATTCTTATTTTGACGCATGTTCTACAAACCTGCTATTTTAAAATACCTGCAATGATGTGATCAACCCTCAGGCTTGATTCAGGCCTTCTTGGAGGGCTGAGTGCAGGGAGATGCACGTTGAGGATGCAAAAGCAGCAGGGATGTATCCACACTCTCAACCCAGCTGCTGCTCTGTGCAGAGAGCGTCGGCATAGATGACTTCTCCAAAGGGAGGAGCGATCTGTGTCAGGTTATTGTGGCATCCTATGCTATGGGAGACATGACTTCCAGCCACTCTGAAAAGGAAAAATTAGTTGCTGCTCTGGAGGGAGCAACAGAGGAACGGTTACACCTGCATGCAATTGTAGGGTCACAAGTATGCTACATGGCTGGCATTTCAATCCTGGATGAAACTGGGTTAAAGTTGCAGCTCTTCTGCCACCCTTGTGTGACTACAGGAGCCTGCGAATTTAACAGGTACATAGTAATTTTATACTAGTAAGATTATACCAGGATCATTTAACAATGATGCAACTGTGATGTCTTTCTCTACCCTTAGACAACATAAACACTGAAATGAGCTCACCGTTCCCCATGACACAACTTGGGCTTTTCCTTTTTCTCCTTTGTAAGACGGTGATGTCAGTTCTGTGGACTGTAGGGGATCCCAGCAGTTGTGCCCTGCTGATACTTATATATCTAATTGACATAAAAAAATTAAGAAAAGCAGCCCAACCTCATTTGACCTTAAGCATATCATTAAATATTTCATTGTGTCAGTGTAGTAGGATAGCTCCCAATTCTGATCCTATCCATTGTTTTCACTTTTGAATCAATGAAATTCCCTGATGCTACATGTGGCAAATCAGCGCTCACAGCCCAGTAGTAAAAGTTCACTTTAAGGCAATTCAGCTATTAAGTACAGACATTGTGGGATAATCAGTCATTTTCCACCCCAATCTTTATGGCTGCATGTTTATACAGTTATCTAGTACCGGCTGAATCAAACTACTACCCTGAATTTTTGTGTCCTTCATATAATGTACCATTAAAATAATAGTGTTTATTTTATTTCCTCCCGTTGTTGTTTTTTTTCTGAGCATACTATACACTATTTCACAATCTATTTTTTAAAGAATACCGTAACTTGAAAAAAATAGTAACTTTTAAAATATTTATCTAGAGTGAATACTGGAAAACCTGTCACATTATGTTACCATACAAGTTTAGAGCTAAATTGTAGCTTTTAAAGCCTGCACTTCAATGCAGAAGGATGAGGTTGGGGTGGGGGTGGGAAAAATGAGGGGACACAGAGGTGCATTTCACCATCTGCAGTCAGTGGAGACATTCAGACCCAAATTGAAATCCATGTACTTTGAACATCAAGAAAACCCGGTGTGTTTCTACTGTAAATAATTCTATACATCGGCAAACCAGTTCAATAGTATTAATCATGGACATAGATGAAAAACTTTCCATTTAATTTTCACACAAGTGTTTTGCTGCAGATGAAACCCATTCACTCCTGTCCTGACCTCTGTGGCAAGGGACAATATTTCTTCTTCTTCTTCTTTAGGGCAGCCTTTCAAATATTTGAAAACTGCTACCATGTCCTCACCAGCTTCTTTTCTCCAAACTCAACATACCTAGTCACCACAGGAGCCCCTCCTGCTGCTATTACCCTGTGTTTAAAGTCGTGGAGCATGCATAGCTCTGCAACATGAGGAGGAAAGGCAAAATGCAGAGAAGCAAGGAGGGTCTGGTGAGCAGCTGTATTTGGGGTTCACAAACCCTTTGCCATTTGGATCTTGGTTTTTTAGGAGATCTTGTACCTCTGCAGGGTAGGTGTGTTTGGGTAGACCGGGTCTAGGTTATCTGTAGGGATACTCCTACCTTTTGTAGAGGTGATCCCATCCATTAGGCTGAAACAGGCTTGAAAAAGCATCTCCACTGCTGCCCCGTGGGTTTGTGGGAAGGATTCTTTCCCCATTTCCCTTGCAAGAAACTGCAGTGCCCAGCAGAGTTATCTAAGATGGGGCTGTGAAACGGAGGTTCATCTGTATTGATCTGGGCTGGGTCCACAAACCTGGCATGAAGTATGTCTGACGTACATGTATTTAGATTTTTCCATTTGCACTAGGACTACTAGGCTGTGTCCTGCCAACGCCCTGCAGGTAGAAGTCTCACCGGACAGCACAGCATAGCAACACTCGTGTTCCTAATGTGCCTTTCATTTGAGGATCTCAACGCGCTGTATGAAACATAAGTGAATTGAGCCTCACAACCCCCATGTGAGGTAGGGAAGTATAATTCCCATTTTACAGATTGGGAAACTGAGGCACCGATACGTGACTTAACGTCAAACAAGTTAGTAAAAGGACTAAGAACAGAACCCAGGAGTCCCCTACGTGATTGCTTGGTTTTTTGTTTTTTTTTTTTTATCAATGTCAGTGGGAAGTTTGGTTTCATTACAAATAAATAGAATTAGCAAACAATTTGCTATAAAATAAGATTGATTGTACTCACACTGGTGGCAATTATATAACCTGTGGTGGAGATTTCTGAGTAGTAGTCAAGAGGATTTATGTTGATATGTGATATTAAAGAAACAGATATCTAGTTCCCCCAAGTGGTTTTGAAAATCTCAAATTTTACCCCTCATTTCTATTTTACACTGTATTTGATACTGTAATATTGGCATTAGAGGTGACAGGAGAAATCATGTAATAGAGATCACAAATTTTGATTCCAACTTTCCCCTACTTGAAATTGCAGATGCTTTTGTCTAATTTGGGTGGGAAATGATTCACTAGCATTGGAAATGACGGTGCTGCCAGAGAGAAGACAATTTAGATTTTTCCTTCTCACAGAGGAACTTTGCTCCTGAAACTATTTTTACTTTGTTGCTCTGTTTATAAAAAGTAGCATGAACCATCACATCTCACCTGTCATTGATCTGACCATCATTATATTGAAGAACATCAGATAGATATGTATCAGAGAAGAACTTACCTGTACCATTTATATAGGGTAACATCATGCAAACCATGCTCAAAACTAAACTCCTTAGTTTTGGTAGCATGAAAAAAACTGCATTAGTAAATTGTATGAAATGGTGCAGAATGACTACCACTAATATCACATGCATCTTATGCAGCCATTGGTGCTTTGAACAAGTAAGCTTTGGGTGTATAGTAGGTGAGATATACAAAGTGTGTTTACATTACACGGAGAAGTCGACCAGTGACCCCTCCCCTCTATTAAACCGGCTTGTTTGAAGGGGTCCATATTGAATCTGAAATCCCATCCCCTGTTGAAGACAGAGGCATGGAGCCACTTGGTGTAAAAGGTTCAGTATCTGTGTCCGTCTCACCCTCAGCTAGATAGCGTTTCTCTCGCATCCATGCTGATCCCCCATTTGGACCAAAAAGGAAGTCGTCTTTGTCTTGAGAGATACTGAAGCCACTTGGTGAGCGTTCGAGCTCTTCATGGTTGACTGAGAGAAGGGATAAGGGGGTGTCACTGTCTCTTGTCAAGCTCCTTTTCTGCCTTGGAGAAATCCTGTCTGAGTAGGGGCTCTGCTGGTCTCGGGGGGATGGGTAGCTAACCTGGGAGTCCATCAATGTGAGTATAGGCAAAACTGTTGGCCTCTCGGCATGTGACGTGGAAGAGGGTGTGGCTTGCGACTTCCCAGAGTTCTGTCCCCGTGATGACAAAGATCGCGAATAATTCATCGGATCCTGTGCTAAGAAACCATATGGGCTGACTTTGTTTACTGGAACCTGGTGGAAAGTATAAGGAGTTTCTTGAGTGCAAGGCTCAGTATATTTGTAAAGGATGCTTTTCAATTCAGAATATCTGTTTTCCTCTTTCTTCTCTGCTGGAGAGATGTCCTCCTTCAATGGCGTTAACTCAGTGACCTGGACTTGCAGCTGCTCCATATGATGCATGTGCATGTCTACTAGAAAATCCAGTTTCTTCCCCATGTCATGAACCTGAAAAACACCAATACCAATGAGTGACTGGAAGTGATCTGCAGCTGGGGATTCAGTACGACAGACAGCAGTTATCTCTACAATATATCTTCCCACCACTCGTAATTTATCACAAAAGCAAGAGAACTATGGGGTGTTTCCTCAGGTCCCTGGTTGCAAAGAGCGTCTCAGCTTGAACTTGACCTTGTTTTATTTCACTATATGAGCAGGAAGAAAATAGTCATTTTCCTCTTTTGTGTGTTTTTTTCTGGTTCAAGGGTGATAAATATATGGGTTTGTTGTGTAGCTTGTAGGGATCCCAAGAGGGGTGGGAATTTTTGGGCAGGGCCCAATGCCAAAATTCAGGGTCTGTAGTCCTGTTGGGGGACATGTGTCAGTTGTAGTGGGGTGAGTGACAGTGGTGTTAACTCCACGCTCCTACCACCTATGGTTCTGGCCTGCAAAGAAGTCATTGGTTCAGATCTAGTTTGTGGAGAAAGGTGAGGATGACACCTGTTCCAGTTTAATAGGTCAAGACCAGCCTCCAGTGACAGGAGTAGTGATATAAAGAGCAACAGTTAGATGGCCAGAAGCCCCGTCCCATACAGATTCCTAGGAGAGAATAAGAAGAGCTGCACAATCTAAAGCAGGTGAATATTGGAGGTGACCACACTCAGCAGCAAGAGACTGAAGCAGAGCTCTACAACTGGCTTATGAAAGATTAAAGGGCTGGGATAAGATTATGGAGGAGATACAGAAAGAGGAGTTCTGGCTGTCTTGTAAGAGGGTGTGATGTTCAGAGTTATGCTTGCTGGTCCCAGGCTGCAGAGGACAATGGAGGGGGTTTAGTATTTCCCATGCTTCTGGGCTTTGCTGGTTGCCAAACAGGGCCCAACTTTTCTACGAGTCTATGATTAGTGTTCAAAGATCAAAAGCTATTATGATTTATGGCCATTTGGAAGCTTCGGTCCAATTCCCAGAACTGCCTAGTGTCTTTATCACTAAGGCCAGCATAACCTTTGTTGGTGACCATGACAGAAAGGCCACAGACTGATTTAGCCACAGCTGATGAAATAGCCTCTAACTCACCTTAGTAACTCCTGCCAAGTCATGGCTATGTCTCAGCCGTGACTTCCACCTTTGTGAAAGCTATCTGTACATCCACACTTCTACATCCACAAAATTAACTGCTGATGTAAAACCAAGCCCCCCATCATAACCAGACAGAACCATAAATCCAATTTCTCCACCTTATGTGCACCCAAACATATACATTTAGAAGTGCATGTACTGCAATTTGCACAGACAAATGAATTATAGGCACGCAGATTGTCACAATTTGCACTCATCAAGTGCATCCTTTTATATATTTGATGCAGCAAAACAAGCATCAAGCACAGCCAGTGCAGCCAGTGCTGGGATAGCCTCCAAGCAATGAATACACAGCTATGAACACAATTGGACTTTGGGGATGCTGGAAATCTGTATTGAAAATTCATGGCACATGCCCATCTTGCTAAATGAGAGGAAGATGCAGTAATTAGTTTGCAAAATACACAACTGTCAGCGATTTAAACAAATTAATGGAAAACTAACATGAACGTCCCTCTATCTTGAAAATACTTACCTGTCTTTCAACTTTAACAAATTTGCCCATCATGCTTTGGTCTTCAGTATCTACTGTGGATGCTTTGGCTACATATGGATCATTTCTAAAAAGAATCAACAGTCCCATTAGTATTTTATGTTCTGTTTTATTACATTTGTATGTCATAGGAGCAAAGTTTAATTGCAAAATGAGTGGTAACTTCTTGGAATCCCAGTAATGGGCCAAAATGTGAGAGTGTGAGGCACTGCATACACACAAATTTCAAAATTAACATTTCTGCTTTTCCTGCCTGAAATGACTTTTTGAATCAAAACTTAATTATTAAAACAAAATCAAAACTAAAATAAAATACTTTGATTAACCTAGACAGGACATTGTTTCTGAATTTTGCTTTGGGCAATTTTCAAGTTTTTGATTGCCTTATTTAAGGTGGGAAAATTTTTTGAATCCACGTTTCTGTGGGATGGAAACACAGTTTTCTGTCCATCTGTATAAAACAGTATCTCTTTATCATAATACATCAGACCCTTGTTTTGCTATCTCCATCTCTGGGAATTTAAATTAAACAAATGTTTAATTAATATGAAATTTAAATCAGCCAAAAGTTTGCAGCCCAAAGACTCTGAACTTCATCAGACAATGGCTAAATGAGTGGAAGAGAAGGTTGATAAATAACTGCCGAGGAGGTTATGATGGCACATACAAGTATTTGAAGGTCTGACACAAGGGTAACAGAATAGGATGACTCATGTAGAGAAATGAGGTAAAATGGAAAGTAAAGGAAATTTGGCATTCATCCGTTAATGTGGTAGCACACTGGCTATGCGAACAAAGTAAAGTTTTTAGGGTACTTGGACATATTATTTCTGTTGCAGTTTATGAGAAACATTAAGTAAAATAATTTCACCTGGGAGACTGTTGTGAAGGGTAAGAAAAAGCTCCTCCTTTTTGGGATTTCTTATGCTTGGGAGTAGACGGTGGTCCAGGTGTAAAAATCATATCTACTCTGGAAAAAGAGAGGCGGGGGACATGACACAAGTGCATAATGTCTATAAATACTTACAAGAAATGAGATCGACAACTTATCTCTGCAGCAAACAATACTGTAAGAATACCATGATGGAGCGTGAAGGCAACAGACTAGGAATGACACACTTGCACCTGGTTACACAGCAAGAAAATGGCAACACTGAGAGTCCCACTTCCTTACCATAATGTCTAGACAATACTGTCTTCACGTGCAATTATAAGAACAATTTCCTTCTTTTTCCTTTTCAAAGGAGACAATGCCACATTTCTGTTTTTGAAGGATGAACTGATAAACTGGTTATTGCTTTGTGCTAACCTTCCTTCAAAGCCACCTGGAAAGCTGAAATATCGTGGGAAGGAACCACATTTGATCCTGTGTTTCTGCACAGCTTGTCGACTGATTCTGAATTGTCCAGCACAGCACTGCTCCACCTTAACCCCAGGACCTGTGTGATCCAGCCTCAAGGGCTCCTCCTAGGTCCACAAATTTGGTGGCGGGGGAGCAGTGGCAGTGCTAGCTGCCACTACACTGCTGGCAAGTTTCTAGACCCAGGGGGAGCCTTATAGGCTAGATAACTTGGCCTGGCACACTAGATCAGGCCAGTGCATGGGACTGCTGCAGTGCAGCCAAATCTAGGTGTGCAGGGTCAGGCTGGTGTGCAGCTCGATCTGGGTGGCAGGGTCAGGCCAGGAAGGTGGATCGTGTCAACAGACCGACCCGAAATGCTGACCCCATGCAGAATCTGGTCCACGGACTGACCCCTGCACCACTCATCAAGCACGTGGGGCTGGACGTTTGGGCAGCACTGGTCTAGTATATAAACACGGCAATTACATTTCCCTGCCATTAAACATAAACATTACATTTAACACATTCCAACTGGCTAACTGGGGACATAACAGAAACCTGGAAAAGCCATGGTATGGACCAAGTGAACTGTTGTTCACAAAGTCCCAGAATACTAGAATCAGGAGGCACCCACTGAAATTAGTAGGTGAGAGGTTTAAAACTAACAAGAGAAAGAGCTTTTTAAAGCATTATGTAGTTAATAGGCCTGTGCAAAGCAGCTAATATTTGCTTTCGATTTGGCTGACTCAGGGGACAATGATTCAATTCGGTGATTCGAATCAATGTCCCGAATTGATTTGGCCGAATCTGACTCGGCGATTCAGCCGCTGCCGAATCAGTCAAATCTCCGAACTGGACAGGCCCCATCCCCCACCTGCTCTCCCAGCTCCATCAATGACTGCCCTGCCCGTCCCAGCTCTTTAAAAAAAAAAATCCCCCACTCACTTGCTCCTGCCAGGTCAGGGGGCAATCCCCACTGCCCTGTGCTGCATGGGGGACTCTGTCACAAGCCCTCAGAAGCCCCGAGGTCGCTGCAGCAGCTGGTGAGTGTGGACTTTTTTTTTTTTTAACGAACTGGGAGCTGGGTGGGCAAGGTAGCCATGGGCGGGGGGGGG